GGACAGGACACGGGGTGTGAGCACCTACCACACAGAACACGGGGTGTGAGCACCTGCCCACAGGACACAGGGTGTGAGCACCTACCGCACAGGACACAGGGTGGCCTCCACAGGGGTGACAGGAAGGGGCCATCAAGTCAAGCACCTTCAGGAAACCTTGTCACAAGAGATTGGGAATTCTGCTCTGAAAATGGGAACGAATGTGAGCCGCACAGATTGAGTTTAATGTGCAAAGGCCCTGAAGCTAAACTAGAAACGGATTCTCCTCTTTCTCTCCTCCTTCCTTCCTTCTCCCTTCCCCTCATTCTTTCTCCCTTCCCCTCATTCCTCTTCCCCTACCATCTGCCTTTTTGAAGCAGGATCTCATATAATCCAGGCTGGCCTCTATGTGCTATGCTAACCCAGGCTGGGGTTGAACTGTTGCTGCTCCAGCATCCGCCTCTGCCCCACCCCCACTCCCTTGGTGTTTACGAGAGCTGGTCTAACGAGCCTTGATTGACCTTGAATTCACCAGTAAGATCCTCCTGCCTGCACCTTCTGACTCGGGTCTGTAGGGTGCACTGCTGTGCCTGCGTGTGAAGTGCGGAGGGCAGGGGCAGGGGCTGGAGCGTGTTCGGCAAGTCCTCCATGTGCTGTGGCTACAACCATGGCCACCACGTCTGCTCAGGCCAGGGCAGCTTTTGTTTGTTTGTTTGTTTGTTTGTTTTTTGAAACAGGGTCTCTCTGTAGCTTTGGAGCCTGTCCTGGAACTCGCTCTGCAGACCAGGCTGACCTCGAACTTACAGAAATCCTCCTGCCTCTGCCTCCCAAGTGCTGAGATTAAAGGCGTGCGCCACCACCACCTGGCGAGGCCAGGACATCTTAACCAAGGGGAATCCTGCACCCAGGGAGGCACCGAGTCTGGACTTGATTGTGGGCTTTGGTGGCAGTGAGGGTAGGTTCCCAGAGTGGTTCAGTGTCATGAGGAAACCGAGCACATGAAGAAACCTGGGCTCTTGTGGGGAAGATCAAGGACAAAGAGTTTGGAGCCTCCTGCAACACCCAGAGGGGGCAGTTAAGACTCATGGCACTGGAGTGTGAGCTGTCTCGTGTACGATGGTATGCTCCTTTCACAGCCTGTGTGCAGACTCCAGGGACCAAACACCTTTACCCTCTGATCTGTCTTGCCAGCTTTCTTTTGTTTTGCTCTGTTTTTAAAAGATTTATTTGTTTCATTTTATGTGGATGTTTTGCCGACATGTACATCTATGCACCACGTGTGTGCAGTGCCCACAGCAGCAAGAAGGGGGTGTCAGAGCTCCTGGAACTGGAGTTACCAGTTACCAGTGCCACATGTAAGGCACTGTGTAGGTGCTGGGGACTGACGATGTTGCTATACACCCAGGTCTGAGACCCATGACCTTCCTGCCTCACCCTCCAGAGTGCTGGGATTACAGGTGAGCCCCAGGATCACATCAAGCCTTTCCTGTAGTATATATTAATATTTCATATAAATAGCATACAATATAATATAGTGCACACATCAAGCACTCTGTGTTTGGTGCCTTGCAAATCTGTGTGTTCTCAGGGCCTAGTGCATTCTTCTGTCACCATGGCTACGTTGACATTCATTCACCCATTGACCCATGATGCTTCCTGACAGAGCACTTATGAAAAACAGATGACCTGAGGGCATTTGCTCTCAATTCACAGAAGACAGGACAGATGCCTGGACCAGGAGGCTTGACGCTTCCACACTCCGAGAAGGCCATGGAGGAAGCTGTGCTCTTGCCACAAGAGAGGCCACTAAGGTTCAATCTATGCCTGTCACTGGATCCATAAGACTAGGAGGTGGGGAAAGCTAGAGACATCCAGGAAATTTCCTCCCTTCCCTGCCCTCGTCGCCAGCCATGGTCCTTTCCTATCCCCCAAATGCACTGAGAGTCAGTCTTGCACAGTGGTGCTCAACCCTCCTAATGCAGCAGCCCTTTGGTAAGGTTCCTCGTGCTGTGATGACCCCCACCCCAAGCATAAAGTTATTGTCATTGCTGCTTCATAACTGCAATTTTGCTACTGTTATGAATTAGAATGTAAATACTTTTGGAGATAGAGGTTTGTCAAAAGGGTCATGACCCACAGGTAGAGAACCGCTGGTCTGGGGTCTTATGCAGGCTAGAAACCAGACTGCATCTGTGCCATCTACACCAGTCACTGGGGATTCTAGACGGGGACTCCACCCCTGAACCACGCCCCCAGCCCCTCACTGGGGATTCTCTTCCTGGCACTCCTATTCCTGAAAACCATAAATGTCTGCAGACAGTGGGGCAGCATAAAGCTCCAGGTGAGACAGCCATCTTGGGTAACTTTCACGGTGCATGAACCCTGGCTTATGAGAGGCACAAAAAGGAGTCTCAACCTAATGCCAGGGCTACGTATGGCTCCCAGAAACTCTTGGTCTCCATCTGCACATCTGGGCTGAGGCTCAACTTACACAGAGGCCCCAGGGAGCCTGGTGTTGGAAAGATCGTCTGGTCCCTGGGCTCCGGTGCCCAGAGCTGTGAACCATGGTTGTTATGGCAACCTCTGAAGCTTCCATGCGAAGCTGGAAAGAAGACTCTGGTGCCTGAAGAACAACATCCAGCAACACAGGCAAGCCGCCGTTCCACATCCTGCTAGTCTTTGCAGACAAGCAGAGTGGAAGCAGCATCCAGGCAACCCCGAAGGAATGCTGGGGTGACCAAGGCAGCAAGTAACCAAGGGCCCACAGAGCCTGGGATACACCCGCTCTGCCAGATGGCTGTGCCTGGCCAGCCTCACAGAGGGACTCCTCAGCCACTGGTGTGAGGTGCATGGGTCTCAGGCCCTTGATGGGAAGCATGAGTGTGGGCCCCCTTAGCCCTGGCACTCGCCAGCGGCTTCTCCAGGGTCAGGCGGGCTCCCTCCCAGCACCCTTTTCCAGCAGCAGTGTGGCCATCTTCATCAGCTCTGCCATCTCAGGTAAGGGCAGGTTGGGGACTAGAGACAAGGAGACACTCTTGATGGTGGCTATGCCTCACGGGGTCCTCCAAGAGATGTGTGTGAATACAGATAGGCTGGCAACCCACGTAAGAACCCTTGTCAGGGGTCCTCCTGGGTCCTCTGCTTTTTTTCTTCATCATATAAACAGTTGAATACAGTCCCGTGAGTGGCCTGATATTGCAACCAATGGTCACAAGCAATGTTCTGTGTGCACTACTCTTATGCCTTGCCTTGTGTGTGCTTGGCAGTTGCAGAAGGAAGAACCTAGCATCTCGCACACACTTAAGAGCTGGGGTGGGAACTTATGTGCAGACAAGGGGCTGCTTCATGTCTGCCCCACAAATGTTCCCCTATTGAGCCACACCCCTAACCTCCTGCCCAAGCAACTTTTTTAAGAAATATTTCTTTTTTGTTGTTTATTCATTTTTTTATGCTGTTGTTCTGGGTTTTAAACCCAGTTTGTGTTAGGCAAGCACTTTTACTAATGAGCTACACTCCTAGGTTCACCCTTATTTTTATAGATGTATTAATATGTGCGGGGTGCACATGAGCCATGTAGAGGACAGCTTTCAGGAGTTGGTTCTCTCCTCCCACCAAGTGGGTTCCAGGAATTGAACTTGGGTTTTCAGGCTTGGTGGCAAGCCCCTTCACACAATGAGCCATCTCAGTACCTCCCATGCTTTAAATTGTATGTTGGTTCTCGCTCTAACCAAGCTAAGAGCTTTGCAACAGTACCAGCTGCATACAGCTACACACAGTTGCATGTTCTTCACATTAAGTAAAACTATATATGCATAAAAATGTCTGATCTGCATTAGTTCCCAGTTTCCATGATGTGATTATTTTTACAGTCATGTTCATGCAGCACTATTACTGAGCACACAACACTGTCACCAAGTGTGCAGCACTGCCACTGCGCATGCAGCACTGCCACTGAGCATGTAGTACTGTCTCTGAGCATGCAGCACTGTCACTGAACATGCAGCATTGTCGCCGAGCATGCCGTAGTGTCACTGAGCATGCAGCACTGTCACTGAGCACACAGCACTGTCTCTGCGCATGCAGCACTGTCACTGAACATGCAGCACTGTCACCAAGCACGCAGCACTGTCACTGAGCACGCAGCACTGTCACTGAGCATGCAGCACTGTCACTGAGCACACAGCACTGTCACTGCGCATGCAGCACTGTCACTGAGCACACAGCACTGTCACTGAACACGCAGCACTGTCACTGAACATGCAGCACTGTCACCGAGCACGCAGCACTGTCACCGAGCACGCAGCACTGTCACCAAGCACGCAGCACTGTCACTGCGCATGCAGCACTGTCACTGAACATGCAGCACTGTCACTGAGCACACAGCACTGTCACTGTCACCGAGCACGCAGCACTGTCACCAAGCACACAGCACTGTCACTGC